ACCTGTGTGGCTTGAGCAATTAGAGTTTCAGGATGATGTGGAAAGCCTTCAAGTTCTACGTCATGAGTTGGCACTTCCATATTTTGGATTTGCTTCCCTTCCAAGGCATTCTGTTGTCTCTTGCACCAAAGAAAAGTTACACTAGATACCAGGAGAATACAAGAACACACTAAAAACATGTACCAGAGACAGGTAAAAGAGTAGTGATAACTTTCACCAGTGTTGTGGTCAATTGGGTAAATGTAGAAACGAGTGGTAAGTCCCAAAGTAACGAGAAACACGACGAATGAGGACGAGACTATTGCACCAAGCCACAGCCAACTACTTGGATCTAAAACCCTAGAAATGGGTGAGTCCAACGGGTCAGTCTTAAATGACACAGTTTGGATGGGCTTCCAAGCCAATCCCGGCAGCTGTTCTGTCTCTCCGGTGACATAGGCTTCAATTTTCAAATCTACGTGGGAAAAATCAAAAGGGGTTGAAGAAATAGGAAGCAAGAGTTGTAGCATGGAGAGATCATCTGTGTTCTTGAAGGCACATATGAGCCGTACACGTGGCAAATGGGAATCGGGTTTGGTGGTCTGGAAAATAATTTCACGGATTATGGAAATGAGAGGAGTGATTCCACTGCCTCCACTGAGCATCACCAAAGCCTCGTGCCTTAGAAAATGAGATGAAATGGGGCCATAAGGTCCTTCGACAGCAGCTTGGATATGATCCACATTTGAAGACAGTTGCTTGTAGAGTTTTTGAGACCAACTTCCTTCAATCTTAATGACAACGCTGAGATTGTGTGGCTCCATATTAGGGTTTGAAGTCACTGTAAATGGGTGCCATTGCAGCTTGGATATGCTTGGCACGTTTATAAACAAGATGCTAGTGGGATTATAATCCAATCCTGAACAACAAAATAAAAAATAAAAACAAGGTTACTAATTCACGTTTTATAATATAAGTGGATAGACATTCATATTTTCAAACATTAGGATATAGTATTAATAAACCAATACCTAACACATGACAGTGGCACGTACCAGTGCAACATATTTGATGGTGGTTAGAGATAAATGCATTATTATATCATCCATTATAATATGAGTAAGTTGTATAGTTAATATTTTCCAAACCTAGCTGGGGTATAATAGCTGATATTTTCTAAACCTAGCGTATAATATAATCAGATAGATATATACACAATATGTGAGAAGTATAAATGCGACATATATATTTAATGGTGCTTAAAGCTAATCACGTTATTGATCCATGAGTTATAATATGGGTTAACAACAAAGTTGATATTTTCCAACATGTGCCATGAGCTCAACGTATTTAATAATGATGACTAGAGCAAAATTAGTTACCTTGGGTCTTGGCGAAGTTGAGCTCAATGGTACCACATGGTAAAATGCGAGCTGAGACTAACCCAGCTCGTTGGTACGACTGTAAAAATCTCAAGTATCGATCCACGATGAAGAGGAAGATGCCGGGGAGGAGCATGCAGAAGTAGGAAGCACCGACATGCAGTACGTAGAAGAAGATGTAGAGTGCGTAGAGATGGTGGGTGTAGAAAAAAAGTTCAAACATTTTACGCCTAACGCGAGGAACGCTTGTGATCCACATGGCCATTGCCAACACAATTGCAATCTCCCCAGCTACATTTGATACGTAGGTTTTGCTCCACTCAAGCAGCTGCAATTAATTAATGTCCAACACACTTTATAAAGGGTTGACCACAACAGCTTAATTAGGTAATTTTGTAGTAAATTAGTTGGACAGAGAGTGCTAGTACTGGTAGTTCTTGTACTATACAAACGTATGTGAGTGGCTGCAATATATGTATGCTTGCCTGTATATTACATAGCAACCCTTCCATTTTCTAATCATTTCGATACCATGCGGATTGATCAACCCGCATTTGGTAATATTTCTCTTCCTTGTTAAGATGGGATCAATTAAATTAATAAGGGTGTGTGGAAGAAAAAAAATGAGTGTGTAAATAGTACTACCTGTTTAGGGTGGTGCTATCCACATTATTGTCATGTTTATTGATGATGAAAACTAATTTTAGTATTACAGCCATTTGTATATGAAGTTAATCATGTTATTGAATCAATCTAGATGAAGTTGCATGTATATCCGATTGATTAGGTGAATATATAGCAGTATTCATAAAATTTATATGATGAATATATGTTAATCGAAAGAAGTGAGATGTATGCATTCCTTAATGTTGGTACACAAGTCAAAAGCAATGGCTAATTAACATATTGGGTTGTTAATGAGTATCCATTAAACCCTATTTAGTTTGATTTCACCTTACACCATCATCATCACTAGCAATCTCACTCATATATTATGGTGTATCAAATTAAACAGGTCTTAACGGATACTCATTAACAACACAATGAATTAATTTGCCACCTCTATGCAATACTACTTAAAGGAAAATATATACATAATAAAAAATAAATCATGATGCATGAAGTCATTTGGTTAGGAATATATCATCACCATGGACTGAATAAGGTTGTAGAAATCTCGCATGAGAAAAATGCCAAAAAGATATATATCTTCCCTAATTCATGTCCTTGTTATCTATATATGTCCATATGATGATTCCTGCCAACCAGCCTACAATACCTAGATATCGACATGATGTCGAATTTAAGTTGAACCACTCAATTCTTTCAATTTCTTCCTTTTTGAAATTAAGATAGAAAACAATAAATATACAAGGATTTTTCAAGCTCTAGATATTCCACTGTATACTACAAAACAAGAAGAAATACATAAAGCAACATAATTCTACACATTCTCTTCTCACAACTAGAAAACAAGACAATCGTTTTCATGAATCGCATGCGTAATACAACCAAATTAAGCTAAAAGATATTAGCTATATACAAGATCAATTAAGACAATGAATTAATTAAAGATAAAAAAAGATGATTGAATTAGTTAATCACCAGAACCATCTGATTAGTCATGGCCCAGTAGATGACGAACCCTAGGGTATGTGCAGCAAAGAGGATCATCGAGAGATGGCCGAGCCAAATATGATACTTAATACTTGACTCAGATGTGAGCCCGAAGAGAGGTAAAATCGAAGATCCTCGAGTTACAGGGAAGAAGAGAAGTGCCCAGCAAATGTTCCCAATGTAACCTAATCTCAACGACACACTTCGAAACTTCGTTTCCCACCTGTCATATAATTAATCTTAATTAACATGAATTTAATTGACTAAAATCAAGAGAGAAAAAATTTAATTGATCATCATCATTCTTTTAAAAATCATGTAAGAAAGGATATATATGTATATGCTTACACTTTCTCGCCAGGAAAATGCATATGGAGGTGGCCGAAGCTGACATATAAGTAATTGGCAAGAGACCAGACCAAGAGTGCAACAAACATGAGTCCAAAAGCAAGATCCATTGCAGTGACAATTCCCAGAGGAGCCTTCACAATTACCGGACGTCTCCAAAAGGCTAATCGTTTTGTAATGACGCCGGTAGTGGTAGTACTGCACCAGTCAAGATCGATGAGCATATCAAGGATGATCGATGAGCATATTAACGAAATTATCAGTGGTTATAAATTGTATAGAAGTTGTATTATAGTATTAAACCTTGTGGAGGATGACGACCTAGTTGATTTCTTTTGGAGATGGATATAAACACAGCTCAAAGCTGCTATTAACATCATTGGGAATGAGAAGAGCAGAAGATTAACCCCTGTAAATTATTACATGACACAACACAAGGTTATGTTATAAACTTATAAGCATAATATCAACCTTAATTAAATTGATTAAGCAAGCAAATGTAATTAAGGAAGAAAAAAAAACCTTGCTCTCCAAAATATGTAGAATTGAGCTTGCTTTGTAAGTTGGGTTTCCAGTCATTTTTGTAGGTATTTGTAGGCAGCACAATCCAAATCATAAGCCATCCAAGAAACACCACAAGGAAAATCAACCTTAAAATCAACACTACTATCTGACTGCTCATCCTTCCGTTTGAGAGGAGTGTCATGAGAAGCTGAGCTGTTCGGAAAAATACAACCTTCTGCTGTGCAATTAAAGCAATTTATAGGCGAAAGTCGTACATAAGGTTGAGGAGAGAGGCATTTTCACTCCCATTTACAACTCCTTAGTAAACATCTTACATGACGATATCAGGTAGCGTTATTCACACTCCAAAAAAGTCATCATACGCTACTTTTAATTTGCCAATTCAATGTACAATGAACTAGTGAATGGACTATGAAATACTTATAAATTAATTCAAGTGATATGTAAGTATATTAGGAATGCACATTGGTATTAATATGAGAAAAATTATCAGATAAATTCAAGTGAATCGTGAAGAGTGCATAATGGCGTAATGAAATTTTATTACACGAGAGCATCAGTTAACTTCAAGTGTCTTATGAAGAACTCACAACAACTTTTAAAGTGAATAGCAGTTCCCACTCGAATCCAATAATTCAATAACTTCTCCATACGAAATGATTTTAGACTCTAGCCTCGGAAAGGTCTGTCGTGAACATAATTATTTAATTTTTGGCAACTAATTTATTCCTCTTCACTTATAAGTGAGAAGTCTTAGTTCTAACTTCGGGATACTCAAAATCGATTTGATAAATTGATTCGCATATTAAAATTTCAATTATATCTTGGTTTCTGTAGTTGCATGACCATATGGAATGTGGCTAGATTAGCAAGAAGAGTAGACATTTTAGGGCGTAATGAAAGTACAGTTGACCAATGGCTGAATTCGAGCAGTGTAGTAATAGTTGACATAAACAGAAGATCAGTACATTAATCATGTTTTGTATGTGATATTATAAACAGATACACGTATAATAACGTCACTAGATTGGTAATACTAAGCAGAAATGTGATTGTTGCATCGAATAATTATTGTTTTAATCCATGTTTAATTAATGGTCAGAATTCTTTATCCATGTTCTCCGTGCTTATTGCAAAAACTACATCATATTTGATGGTCAACATTCATTATTAATTAATTAATTATTCCTAAGCTCAAAGATTTCCGTTTGGATACAACTACCAAGCCTTATCCTACTAAGTGAGGTCGGCTGTATGAATCTTAGAATGTCATTGTGCTCGGTTGGAATATATTATCTTCATTTTCTACAAGTGTCTGAGGACTATCATTCCAAAACCAATGCCAAGAAATGTTGCAATGGCAACTCCAAAAATGCCTGCAAGGATTGCAGGAACAACCAAAGAATCCCATCCTTTGGTCCCGGCCATTCCGCCTGCTGTCGTTGGCCCTCCGATATTGGCGTTGGACGCCAAAAGTAACAGTTTTAAATCTAAGCGAAATAGTTTTCCCAATCCAAGCACCACGACAAGATGGACGGTGACTTGCACTAGAGCAAAGAAAAAGATACTAGGCGCGGTGTTAATGACATTCCATATGCTCCCGCTAGCCCCCAACACTGCGAAGAATACCTGTTGTGAAGCACGCCCCATGTAAAAGCATATCGTATCAAAACGCATATCAGAACTGAATGTAGACCAACAGAGAAATGATTTAGATAGGTAGTTTGATAGAAAGATAGAAAGAATGATTTGCAGTTACCTGCATCAAAAGAAAAGCAACGGTATCCCCAGCAGGTGCAAGGTAAGCGAAATGTGTCGGGAGAAGAGTTGCTAATATGACAACAGTGGCTGTTATCATTGGCAAGCTGCCTCCTGGAATTCCACACAATCCTGTGAGATATGTGGAAGCCTTGCATATCACAAACGATGTAGCAAGAGCAGTGGCAGTTTCTACAACAGGCAGCTTTCTGTCGTAATTGGATTCCGTTTGCATTGAAACATCTGCCAATTAGAAATATCTGCAAAGATTATTTAAAGCTGGCATGCCTTTAGATAATAACTGGGAACGAAAAATTATCATCAGCCAAGGAAGTTCGACTAGATAATTTGCAGGATGAGAAATTCATACCATCAGTTGATGTTGAGGCCTCGGGAGGTATTTTAGAGGCCAAAGCAAACAGCACCATGAAATACAGAGCACAAATAACATTGTCTGCTGCTACTCCTGCAGCCACGACCGATGGAGAAACACCGAGAGCCTCTGAAATCGCAACATAATTAACAGCTACAGCAATAAACCAAAAAGAAAAGAAGAGAAAGAAAACGTTTTAGTCATAACTATATAAACTCATACGGTTAAACACACCGATTCAGAAGCACCAAAACTAAAGCTTCAAAAGACAAACGTAGAATCATGTGTTCAGTTGTAGGATGCATAACATGTTCGTTTAATGGACATGATAACATGGACAGAAAGGACTTTTTCTTGTGTATTGGTTATATAAAAGTTATAGCAACATGGCAACAATGTTAGCTCCAAGTATACCAAGATCCAAGAACCCTTGATTTCCTTTCCCTTAAAATGCCCGTAAGAGAACATATGCAGCTTGAGTGTTCAAATTATAACAGGCCAAACTGACGATGATGAGATTGCTACTTAGAGATCAAGAAACGTATTACAATCACATGATCTGTTTACTGAATATCCATAAACATAAGCTGACATCTCCAAAGACACTTACATCCACCAATATAGCTACCCATGAGAGCAGAAGCTATTTTCCAATTATCTGGACCAAGTGATCGCATGGGCACCAATTGAAATGCCACGAGAGTTCCAACCATAGTCGCAACTGTTACATACATGAAGTTACAAATAATCAGTATGAAGCTTCAATGCCACTAGCTCAGACAAAAAAACCGGTCAAAACTCAAAATAAAGCCTATCAAACATATTGATCCCGTTTAGAATCACAAGCAAGAAAATATTACCTGATCCAAGCACGAAAGCTAAGAGCAAAGTCCCCGTGGACCGCATCACACTGCGCAAGTCAGCTCTATATAATAGCAATGGAATAGATAATGGTAGAAGGAACTCCAAGACAATGGAATATGCAGGCGCTTCAAAGGGAATTATGCCAAAATTACTTGCTGCAAGCCCAACCAAAGTGCTCACAAGGGCAGCACTCACCATTCCACCAATCTTTGTCTTCTCGGACCTTGAAATTCAATCCACAAATACACACTCACTCAATGTAAGCTCAAATCAAGTCATTCATTATTAGCAAAAATCTCATTTCCTAGCATCAACACAGAATACAAATTTCTCTTCTCGAATCTTGGGTGTCCAATAAGAACATGGGCATGTTTGGTTTGATTGCAATTATGATTTCCAGACAGTGAATTAGCAAAGCTCAAATATTTTTCTTTCGATCGATGAAATTTTGCCCCAACCAAACGGACATAAGTAACTAGCAAGTGTGAATAGGCATCAAAATAAATTATAATGTATATTCTCTGGTGTCAAATAAGAACATGGGCATGTTTGGATTGATTAGAAGTATGATTTCCATGCAGTGAATTACCAAAAGCTCAAATCTTTTTCTTTTCGATCGATGACATTCTTTTCTCGGCAACCAAACAGTAATTAAAATGAGAGAAAAAGACTGGAAGGGGTATTAGCATTACCAGAGGCCAAAAGCACCGGTGGCGAACAGGGCGGTCCATAAGCCCCAATGGTCATCGGTAGCGACGATAGGCTGCCTGAGCTGTGACGTAATTACCCTTGTCGCGTGGACGCATTTGCGGCTCCGAGGACGAGTCAACGGCAAGAGAAGCGTTCCATTAACAGCGTGAGACGGAAAGGGGTTGGGTTTGACTCGTTTGACTGGTGAGAGTGATGGAGTGGGAGTGGCGGGAAGGTGGAGTAATGGCCATGTGACGGGGAGAGAAGCCATTAACGTTTCGGGACGGAGGTTTCAGTGCGGGAGCTCTTCTGAGCCTCCGGTCTATTTGGTACTTTTTGCAGTTAATGATGACGTGGCAGATTGTGAGCTGATGACCTATGCACGTGTGGATCACTTCTAATCATTATTGGTTGCCCAGTGAATATTCAAGACCGCTTCTTTAAATGCAAGTGCTTTTGCTTCCTTAAATACATCTACTAAAAATAAATTTGCAGACGCTTTAAGTTTTCCCGTCAAACATGCACTCGGTTTTATGTTAATTCTTCCGTTAATTCTCAGTTTTTTATTTCTTTTTTTAAGTTTCCTTCTAAGTTTTTCTAAGTCTTCTGCTATACCCTTTATCCTTGCCTCTATCTTATATTCACATCTTCTAACTGGAACATTTGTATGTCTTCTGTTCACATCTCCAAATCATCCTAACCAACTTTCTGTTATCTTATCTTCAATTAAGACAACTCCTACTTTACCTCAAACATCCTTATTTTTAATCCTATCATTTCTCATGAACCCGCACTTCCAACGAAACATTCTCATCTCCACTATACTTATTTTTTACACGTGTTACTTTTTGACCGCCCAACATTCTGTGCCACAAAGTATTGTTGGTCTTATTGTCATCCTATAAAAATGTCCATTGAGCTTTAGTGGCAGACTACGATCCCTCAACACACCATATATACAGCGACTAGGATTCCGTTGGTTTATTACATACATATATATTGCAATACCAGACATGGTGGTGAGTTATCTGCATATCTTCCAGCTTACCCCTATTGTCTGCCTTGTTCACATTGTTACAGATTTGAAACATTTCTGCTAATCATCAATGGAAAGTTTCACATTACATGTATTTTAGAACCGCAACCCCAAATCCAATGCCGATGAAAGTTGCGATCGCAATGCCAAAAATGCCGACAAGAATACCAGGAACAATCATAGACGGCCACTCTTTGGCCGTGGCCATTCCGCATGCTGTTGTAGGGCCTCCAACATTGGCATTCGATGCTATAAGCAACTGCTTTAGTTCAAACCCAAATAGCTTTCCCATTCCGAGGATCACAGCAAGATGAACAGCGACCTGGATTAAAGCGAATAAGAAGATACTAGGAGCGGTGTTAATCACACTCCATATATTCCCGCTTGCTCCCACGACTGTAAAAAATACCTGTTTGCCAAAAAAAAGTCAGTTCGTGTAAGACATCCACCCACTAGACCTACATTAGAGAAGACGAGAATGTTCCTTGCCTGCATTAGGATCATAGCCATAGCCTCACCAGTTGGTGCAAGATACGCAAACTGTCTAGGAAACACAGTCGCCAGAATAACAACAATGGCTGTCACAGCTGGAAGGATACCTCCTTGAATTCCATAATATTTCGTGACGTAATGTCCAGCCTTGCAGATGGCTAAGGACACGGCAAGGGACGTAGCAGTTTGTATCAGAGGAAGCTTGTTTGCAGGCTCAGAGTCTGCACCCTTTGCAATGCCTGCCAATTAGATTTCGAGTATCTGTTACTGGCCACAAGTTCAAATGCATCCATTCAAAATAAGAAAGCTTAACCAACAACAAATCCACCTTGATATCCACAATTATGCCATAACAAGGTAGAAATTTACATACCATCACCAGATACAGGAGGCTCAGGAGGTACTCTAGAAGCCAACGCAAACAATGTTGAAAAATATACAGCACAAATGACATTATCTGCGGCTAGGCCAGCCGCTAAAATTGACGGAGAGACCCCAAGAGCATCAGATATGGCAACATAATTGACAGCTACATAAAAAAAAATTGCAAATACTTAGTCAGCACAACCAAATAGGCTCCAATTTGTTCGTGTGAGGGCGTAAATCTATAACGTTGTAAGTACATCACCTCCACCGATATGTCTGCCCATGAGTGCAGCTGCTATTTTCCAACTGTTTGAACCAAGCGATCGCATTGGCACCAATAGATACGCCACCACTGTTCCAACTGTTGTTGCAACTATGGTACACACAAAGGGGCAAGAAATCAAAACCAAGAGGAAGCGAAGACCAAAACCAAAAACCCACATCAAGTTGAGCACATATTCTCATGCCTGCATATATTTGTGTACTAACAACTTCTATGTCATGAAATAATTGTAGAATCGTTCTTATTATCAATCACTCTGTAAAGATCCTCACCGGAAAAAGTCAACTAAAAGTTTAAAACTAAGACTCCTTAGTCATAACTGCATAGAAACAGATGAACGAAATTGGTAAACACATTATGAACTGTCTATGTATTTGCTACAATAGAATGACTAAAAGATCTTAGTTTTAATTCATTTTTGTCAAGTAGCCAAGCATTGTTTCTTTAGAATATAAGTAACTTCCTTTCTTAACTAATTAGTTCAATTTACAATTTCCACAATGCAAAGCATCAAAATTTAAAAAGGAAGAACCAAATAATTAAACAAGTACACAAGTATTAGAAAGGCCATGACTTTCCAAGTACCTGATCCAACCAAGAAGGCCAAGAGAAGTGCGCCGGTTGATTTGACCACGCGGCGCAAATCCGCCCTGTACAGAAGCAACGGAACAGCCAGCGGGAGCAGGAACTCCAACACAATCGAATACGCGGGCGAATTCGAAGAAATGATTCCCAAACTGCTGGCTGCAAGTCCGATCAATATGCTCATCAACGCCCCACTCAATGCGCTCCCAATCTTCGTGTTCTTCTCTGACCTTTAACAACAAAAATTACATAAAAGGACTCAAATTTTCGAGCTCAACTGAGCTGAAATTTCCCTTGCTTGGGAAGGACGAGAGAGAGAGGGTGTTGTGGGGATTACCAGATACCGAAAGCGCCGGTGGCGAAGAGAACCGTCCAGATGCCCCATTGGTCATGAGCAGAGATGAGAGGGGCGTTCACATTGAGCTGGAAACCGGCCTTGGCAGTCACAGATCGGTCCCAATTGGGAGGATTAGGAGGGGAGAGAAAGCTCTGATTTGTGCCGATGACGGTGGCGCCCGGGGAGGAGGCACGCACACTCAGGCTCAAGTTTTGGCGGGAAGGGAAATGTGACAGTTGGAGCGTCGGCAACGGCGGACGAGAAGCGGGTGAAACGGTGAGTTTCAATGCCATGGACATCGTCTCTCTCTCTCTCTCTCTCTCTCTCTCTCTCTCTCTCTCTCAGCCGAGAGAGATTCGTTCTTGTGGTTGAGATTCAAAAAGTGTCGACATTGGGAGTGGACTCTGGGGAGCGAGTCACTGAGTTAACTAGCATGATCATCTAAATTTAATAATATTAAGTAGTAATTACCTTTTTCGGAAAAGAAAAAGAAAACATATTTATTTAGGAAAGAATTTCTATTTTTTTTTTAAATAAGAATTTGATGTAGAAGTCACTCTACATCGAAAGATACGAGCAGCATATTTTGTAAGTTCCAATTCACAGATTATTCTTGTAAAAATTCAATTCAATCTTAAACCATTTGCATATTTAATTATCACAATGGAATTCATTGATTCTTATAGAATAATGTGTTTGTCAATTTCTTTGAACTCAATTAAATGTCTCAAATATTTCTTATTTGACTAATATTTTGCAAGGATGATCTAAGAGGTGCAACTTGAAAAAATAGACACTCAAATTGTTAAAGTTCGATATGATGTGTGCTCCACAACTAATCCTTACTTTTATTTATAAAAAAAAAATGAAAATCTCTTCTCTTAATGACCTCCTCTTTATATATAGGAAAAGGATCCTCGTCGGATCCTTTTCCTAAAAATCCTGCAATCGTATCCGTTCATCGTACATCGTGCAATCAAAAATCATTTAAATTTTAAAATTCAAATATAAATAGTACCTAACGAAAATTGATCACATGATGTACGATAAACGAATACGATTGCGAAAGAAAAGAATCCAACGAAAACCCTTTTCCACACACGTACTCAATACACACATGAAAAGCCACATGATAAGCCGATGATCGTTGAAAGCTGTGATAGTACAATCATCGTGACTTATTCAGGTGTCCATACACATGTAACAAGGCATTTGTAGGTGTCCATACTTATTAACGTGTATGTACCCTAAAAACACCACAGATCGATAGCCTTAATAAAACGGCCTCAACAAAAAGCACTGCTGAATCAACAAAATAATTCCAGAAGCTGGATAGTTTTGTACCTGTTAATATTGTATTATTACATCTCATGTTTCATAAATCCCGAAACAGAATCAACCATGTTATCACTATTGTGTTCAACTGGACCAAGTTTAGGAAGATTACAACTTGAAATCGAGCAGATTTTAGCGTCCTAGTTTGTTACCTTCTGTCGATGGAAGTGTCGGCTTCTTGCTTCTGCTTCTTGGCGCTGTAGCCCTCCTCCTCCAGAGCCTTCAATTTGTTCTTGATTGCTGCTATTTTGGAGCTCCTGCTCGTCTGTCCTGAGCTAGTGCCAGAAACGCTTGTTTTGGTTGCCTCGCCCACTCCTTTGGAAGAATTGTCTGCTGGTTCTACCAAGTACTTGTCACTGGAAACACGGACAACCAGTGGACGTCCACATGCTAGTCTCCCATGCATCTTCTCCTTGGCCAATCTTGCTTCCTGCATGCTCACTTTAACGGTGGAGATCAGGAATTGCTTGAAAACATAACAGAGAGAAACAAGCGACTGACTTACCTCTTTGTTGCTATACTGAATGAAAGCAAAACCCCGTGGCTCTCCGCGCTTTCGGCCACGAGTGTGCCACAGAAAGTCCTCAGTTATAATCTTCCCAAACGGAGAAAACATCTTAATTAGAGCAGCCCTGGAAAATGCAAGAGTGGGATAAATAGTAAGTCTCACAGCCTCACAGATACTAGGCTAGAGCAACGAAGATTCAACTCCAAAGGTTTACTTACTCCGTTATTCTCAGATCAAGGTTACCAATGTAGATTCTACTTTCACTCTTTTCATCGGAAGAACCATTAGGATCCTGCATTAGTTATCACCACCCAATTCAGTATTCCGTAACGCTATCTAACATCAAATATGAAACAGGTCACCAATTTAATCCAGCGGGTAGATCAGATTGTATAGCATCTTTATACTAACGGTTTTCAATAGTGGAACAATAAGTAATCACTTTTTTCTCTTATTACTTTGGAAAGGAATCATGTTCAAGGAGACTCCAGTGAAAAAGCTTTGTTGGGGCCATACAAAAGTGCCAAAGTGAGAACCTTCGTTACGCAGATATAGAAATCCTATCACCTTGGATGCGGATGCGACTATAAGGTCTAATGGCCTATAATTCAGGTCCAATGTTCATACAGAAGACAACCAAATCAAGGGCCATTTTCGAAGTTACCAATCACCATAAGCAGCCCCAAACAAGGACCACACAGAAACATGTCTCCCCCACCAACCCACATAAACATACACAATCAGCAAGACACATCAAATAGCATGTACCGCACGAAAATAAAAGCGTCAGATTGCATTTGATCATGCTTGCAAGAGTTTAAAGAAACAGTCTTTTTCAATTCATCAAATTACCCCCTTCTCTTTCCCTCCCTCCATCCCTCTCAACGTTCGATTTCCAACTCTAACACCTACCTATACTAAAGAACCCGGCAATGCGAAAACCGAACGGCAGAAAAGCAATCATATGGTGCATATCTTAACATAAAAAGATTGGAAAATAAATTTACCATTACAGTGAAAGGGGATATGATGAAAGTCCAACTTCAAGTTCCAGGCTTCCAGCACACAACAAGCATATAAGAACCTTCCGAAATTAACAAGAGCAACTCTTTGTGCACCTGCAAGGCCGCAAGTAAATAAATTTCAAAAACAGTAAGAGCCCCCTTTAGTTAGATGCACTGACCTGAGGCGAAACCCTAAATAAGGGAAGCTAAATTATGCATTGATCTGAGACGAAACCCTAATTACAGCATCTGGAAATTGAAAAGATTGAAACTCTTAGAGAGAAATTGGTACCTGCGTGAATTATCCAAAGCAATCAAGCCGCCCGTCACAGAGAGAGTCGAAAGTTAGCGAGATAGGATGCGCAGCAGCCAGCAGGGAAACTTTGATGCTCCGGCTAATAGCAAAGGCAAAATATATTAAACGACATCGTTTATGGTTGTTTTTCATTTTGCTCCCTTTTGTTTCTTTTTGTTTTCCTTCTTTTTGCAAGTTCTTTTAACACATTTTTTATTAGAAGAGAATAAGAATTGGCAGTGGCTTGGTTAAGGGAACTCACCAGGCCGTAGCAAAAGCGAGTTTTTATAGGGCAATTGTTACTGCTTATGGAGGTGATTTATCCATGATCAAGATGAAGTTTGAGTGAAACTAAGTGAATGTTCAAATCGACTGATGTTGAGTAATCAGTGGATGAGTTGTGGTTAGAGGTGAAATGCCGCTCGAACTCAGAGCTAGTTGGTTCTCCTCGAAATGCATTGAGGCGCAACAGTTGACTGGACCTTTAGAGGTAATTTGGTGCTAGCTGCGAGAGCCATACTAAATTGAAACTAACTCTAAATACTATATATAATCTCAAAATAACAAGAGTCAAAGTTGACAAGTATATTTCTAATGTAACAAGAAAAACGAGTTAGATGATGTGAAACTCTATTAAAACAATCTCTACTGATGACTGACATCATCTAAGGAGCAATAATTGTATTGTTGTGATGATATATAATAATTAACAATATTAAGTAAGTTTCTTTCTCTATAAATTAGTGACAGTTTGTAAAGCAAGGCCAAATTTTAATGTTATATTTGAGAGAAGTGTCAGTTTATGAATTGCAATGTCCTTAAGAAAACGACATCCACCCACACGTACCACCTCCATTCACCACCATTGAGCTGGCATGCATCAATGCTTTTCGGTGCTTGCCGCTTTAATTCAACGTTCTTATTAGCACTGAAAAGCGACAAAATCTACGGTGTGGCCGAGTGTATACACATTTCTTCTTATAATGCATATTTGTTAACTTTATGATTCACTTGATGAATGACACAGGAAGATGAGTGTGGAAACATTGTAAATTGCGTTGCAAGCCAATTTTGTCCTTAAAAATAGCTTGTACATTGAAAATAATTTTAAAACAACCACGGGATGCCCTGGTAGTTGAGATAAATTTCAGCCTCATATTTCACACTGCAGTTCAATTCCTGATGATGGTACTGAAATGTTTTAATGAGTCTTCCTGACTTTCGAAACAATAAGCTAATCTCATTTTTTTTTAAAGCAAAAAACATATATTTGAAGAAAGTAAAGATTCATTGAATGCCTTTGGATGCCAAACAGTTAATAGGTACTTGGTACTGTCATGTGAATTGGGGGTTGGGGGTTGGAGGTTGGATAAATTTTTTTTTTTTTTTTTTGGAGGGAAGTTGGATAATTAAATAAATAAGATAAATGTGAGGGGCAGGCTGTCTTTTATGTTAATATCACATTACTAGAAGGAATTCTTGGATTGTGCAAAATCTTGAGCGTGACCAGAACACATCGAACTCTCTATCGATAACATACAAATATATGCATATCACATGATAACAAGGAGAGAATGAGATACACTCCCGATTAAAAGACGGAATCTCGCAAGCATAAGTTTGCATCAAGATTCAAAACAGAAAATTCAAGCATAATATGAGAATTCGTTGTGGGAATTGCTGCATTACACCGTGAAATGCAGCTCATCAGGATGGACCCGACTTCTCTACCCTCTTAGTTCCTATACACTCTCATCCTCTCATATTTTGTGCGGTTACGATTAAGTCACGTTAACATTTTATATTGATTTTTTTTATAGAGATAATAAGACAAAAAACAATAATGACATAAAATGTTGACGTGTCATAACCTTAACTGCACAAATAGAAGGAGATGAGAGTATATGAGAACTGGAAGGGTAGAGAAGCCAGGTCCCATCAGGATTCCCCCTGGATTCTGGAAGTCTATATAATTCATGTACCTCCTTTGGCCAGTCAAAAGAAAAAAACATATCTTTGTGTCAGAAAGAGATATTCTCTGAATCTTTTCCTTCAAAGGCTAGGGATTAAAAGATCCAGACCTTTAAAATTTGATCAAATGATCAAAAATCATTATATTTTAAAAGTTTTTACTAAATTCTCTGTTTTTAGCCGTTGGATCAAATTTTAAAGGTCCAAATCACTTGATCTCTGGGTTTTGGAGGGAAAGATCAGGAGATGATCTCTTTCCCTTTGTGTCCACCAAATAAAAAAGGGAGAGAGGATCCTCGCCGGATCTTCTTTGTGAGGATTCCGGGAATCTTTCAAGCACATTCATTCATCATATATCGTGCGATTAATTTTCATCAGGTACTCTTCATTTTCAATTTTAAATAAAAAAATTACAATAATTTTTTATCGTACAATATACAATAAATGAATGTAATTTGAAAATTCCTAAGATCCTTACAAAGAGGATTCGGCGAGATCCCCACTCATAAAGAGGGTCCAATAAAATCTTGAATAATATAAAAAAATTCAGACAGAACACCCTCCATTAATTTCACACTTCCACTTAGTCAGAATGCACTGTGCCTCTGTTCCTCCAACTCCTCCTCACTCTCTCATGAGCTCCAACCTCCTTCCATGGACACCATGAACTTCCATTTTCTCCCTCTAACCATCTTCTCTCTCCTCCACTTCTCAGCCTCCTTCACTCCCTTAGACAACTACCTTCTCAACTGCGGCTCCTCTACCAACGCCTCCGTCTTCAACCGGGTCTTCTCAGCGGACCCGTACAAACCCGGACCGGGCTCCATTTCGCTCGCCGACCAAAACCCACCTCCCAATTCACGCGTTCTCTACCGCACAGCCAGAGTTTTCACCAGGGCTTCGAGCTACACCTTCAGCATCAAGAAATCAGGGATCCACTTGGTACGTTTTCACTTCTCGCCGTTTGTAGCTCAGGGTTTTGATTTGAAAGCTGCAAACTTTAGCGTTTCCGTTAATGGGTTTTCTCTGTTGAGAGAATTACATGTTAGGGAATCTGTGATTAGAGAATTTGTTATAAAAATTGATGCAAATGTTGTTGAAATTGTGTTTGCGCCTGTGGGTAATTCTGGGTTTTGCTATGTAAATGCCATTGAAGTTTTTACAGCTCCTGAGGATCTTGTTGTTGATTACGGTGTTAAATTGGTTGGTGCGAATGTTGTCGAATACAAGAATCTGTCTTCGCAAGTTTTAGAGACCCTTTATAGGATTAATGTTGGAGGTTCGAAATTGACACCTTTTAATGATACTTTGTGGAGGGATTGGGTCCCTGATGTCGATTATATTGTTCTAGAATCCGCTGCGAAGCATGCTTCCACCATGGATACTCCGAATTATCAGAGAGGCGGTGCAACTCGAGAGATTGCGCCGGATAATGTATATATGACTGCCCAGGAGATGAATACGGATAAGGCAATTACGGGTGCAAGGTTTAATCTTACATGGAAATTTCCAGTGGATACGAATTCAGGGCATTTGGTTAGGTTGCACTTCTGTGACATTGTTAGTCCTGCACTTAACTTGTTGTACTTTAATGTGTATATCAACGGGTATGCTGCGTACAGAGATGTTGATCTGTCAGTGATGGCAGCCAATGTGCTTGCATCTCCTGTCTATATTGATTTTGTTGTGGATTCGGATGGTTCTGGGATTATGGAAATCAGCGTTGGTCCTTCTGATCTGAGTAGTTCCATTAGGATTAATGCTATATTGAATGGGGCAGAGATCATGAGAATGGTGAATGTTTCCAATTTATGGGCTGGAACTGGGCGTAAGAAGAGGAGTATATGGATTTTGGTGGGCACAGTTGTTGGAGGCTTTGTTATTCTTTGTTTTGCAATTGGTGCATTTCTGCTTGCTTTGAAACGCAGAAAGAGGAAACTGAAACCCCGCCCTGCAGAAAGTGCGGTTTGGACACCTTTACGCATATATGGAGGTAGTTCACACAGTAGAATGTCTGAAAGGACTGCACTTGCGTCTCCAGGCGCAAATGGATATCATTGCTTGAAAATTCCTTTTGCTGAATTACAATTGGCGACAAACAATTTCGATAAAAGTCTAATTGTAGGCTCTGGTGGTTTTGGCATGGTTTATAAAGGGGTCCTGAAGGACAACACAAAGGTTGCCGTGAAGAGAGGTGTGCCTGGATCTAGGCAGGGCCTTCCAGAATTCCAGACTGAAATAACGGTTTTGTCCCAAATTCGCCACCACCATCTTGTATCACTTGTCGGGTATTGTGAAGAACAATCTGAAATGATACTAGTTTATGAATACATGGAAAAGGGGCCGTTAAAGAAACATTTGTATGGTTCGGGGATCCCACCTTTGTCCTGGAAGCAACGACTTGAAATTTGCATTGGATCAGCAAGAGGTCTTCACTACCTTCATACAGGTTTTGCTCATGGAATCATCCACCGTGACATTAAATCAACTAACATTTTGCTTGACGAGAATTATGTGCCTAAGGTGGCCGATTTTGGTCTCTCAAGATCAGGTCCGTGTCTCAGTGAAACTCATGTAAGTACCGCTGTTAAAGGTAGTTTTGGTTATCTTGATCCTGAGTATTTCCGGAGGCAGCAGCTTACTGATAAGTCAGATGTGTATTCATTTGGGGTTGTGCTCTTTGAGGTTCTTTGCGCTAGACCTGCTGTGGATCCCTCGGTTGACAGGGAGCAGGTGAATCTAGGTGAATGGGCATTGGAATGGCAGAAGAAGGGCATGCTTGAGAAAATTATTGACCGCCACCTTGTTGGGAAGATCAAACCAAGCTCTTTGAAAAAGTTTGGAGAAACGGCAGAGAAATGTTTGGCTGATTATGGTGCCGATAGGCCAACCATTGGTGATGTATTGTGGAATTTAGAATACGCGCTTCAGCTTCAGGAATCTCGACCGCGTGGAGAACAGCCTCAAGACTGCGACATCAATGAGCCTCCGACAAATAACGTTGTTCCTGGAGATCCCTCTACCAATGTAAGAACAGAGGAAAATGGCGGTAATGGCAGTTCGGAGATTAACACAAGCTTAGTTTTCTCTCAATTGATGACCAACGATGGCAGATAGCTTTCGAGCTTGTGCCAATATACGATCAATATACCATACAAGAATTTTAAAGATCTCCACCTCACAACTACCAATGTGACAAATCACACAGGTATGTTTTTAAGGTTTTAGGTGCTTCCACTCTATTTTTTTCTCTATTTTCTTACCACGATTATATATGCCACTCATTTTCCTAAACCCTAAACCCTAAACCGTAAATCCACTATTTTTGTTTCCATGTTATTGTTGTATCATGTTTGTAAGTGAAGGAATTATAGAAGCTGCTCATGTTTGGTGTATGAAATTTAAGAAATATTGTATTTGTTTGCTTTTTTGGTGTTTTTTCCAAGTACCAAACCTATGCATGGCAAATAGGTCGTGTTCATGTCATACCTGTTATATTAGCGAGTTGTGTCATGTGAAACTCGTTACCTTAACAGGGTTTTATCAGGTGATCCGATAACGACCTAATTCATTAACAAGTTGTGTTGTTTCATTTCTGGTTAACAAGTTATGCAAAAAATTGTTATGTCTAATATCTAAATCATATCTTATAGGGTTCTTAAAGGGTCACCCGATAACAACCCAACTCATAAACATGTTCTTAAATAGGTGATTTCATAACGACCTAAATTGCTAACGGGTTGACTCAAAACATATTATTTTCGTATTTCGTGTTAGTTAACGGGTCGGGGATTAAATTTACCTCACAAATCTTCGAAGTTTTGTTGATTGAATCTAATATTTACACCCAAAATACAGATCAAATCATAGGTGGCTAATTGCATATCTTCCAAAAAATAAAATTTCTAGTTGGCTATCTAGCTGTTATGCACTACAATGACTTCAATGATGCATGCATAGATTTGCTTAAGCAAGTACCAATTGCCAGTGTGATAGTGGGAGGAGGTTGTCTCTCCACTCAAAGTTATCCTACCTAAATCATTATTTTAGTCACCGACCTCAAGTCAACAAGGCTCTTCGCTTTGCGAAGTTCAGGAGGCTCTTTGCTTTGCGAAGGTCAGGAGACACGTCTATTGTATTACCTTACCTTTACAAAGAGACTGGTTCTACGACTTAAACCCGTGACCTCTTGGTTACAAAGAAGCAACCTTTCTGTTGCACAAAGATTCACCCTCATCATTTTATTGTACATTTTATTGCGGGAAAATCAGGTCATACTCAACCAAGTATCGAACTTAGTTATCGGGTTGGCATCATTCATGTTGCGTATGTAAGCTCTTGTGACAATAAACGTCAAACGAATCACTCAACTAAGTATTGAACTTGATTATCATTTTGTAACATTCGCATGAATTGGATATGATATCTCATTCAACAAAGCATATACAATTACTAAAAGTTATAGGGTTCATTTGGATGCGCTTTTAAAATGACTGAAAACGTTTTTGTTGAAAATATTTTGAAAACCAATTCTTAATAAAAATACAAATAAATCCTAAAAAAACACTTAAAATACTTCGGGAAGAATTGGTCGTGTAGAGAGTTTGATCAGTATTAGCATTGCTATCAGATTCTAATTCTGTACACGAGGCATTTGGACAAAAAACACAAGGATATGGATGGTCCATGAGAATATTGATGACCCCAACTAAATTGGGATGGGCGAGCTGGGCGTTCGAGCCATGAAATAGATTTCAAATTGGACTTTGAAGTTGATAGGTCGAAGTCGTGCAACTATTTCGTAAATAAAAATAGTTTGATCATATAATTATTTTTATTTACGGTCCAATCACGATTGTCTAAAATGATTATAATTTTTTGATAAAATAATCAAGCTCGTTTAGAAGTGCATTTGAAATGATTAAAAACATTTTTAGTAAAAATATTTTTTAAACCAATTATTAATAAAAATCCAAATGGATTCTAGAAAAGAAGCACATATCTGATGCTTTTTAAAAAAAGCAGTTAAAATGCTTTTAGATCCCAAAATCAATTTCACCAAAAACTGTTTCATTCATTTTAAAAACACTTTCAAACGAGCACGATGATGGAATCGAGATATCATCACTGAATTAATCAAACTCAAATCCTAACTAGCTAGTGACAAAGTCCCTAAAATACAAGAATAAGATCCACCAAACAAAGAACAATAAAAGACAAGATGAGGAATTCTTACGAAACGACGTCGGATGCCCAATTGTGTCGCGAAGCCGAAAAGATCTCAGATCACGGACGTGTGGCGGGCTTTTCTTGCGGCACGCGAACACTCGTTCCAACAAGACAAGGGCAGGTCGGTCATTTGACAAAAAGCGGTCGGTGTCATAACCTTTAATAATTGCGTGGCGTGGCACGTGGGCCCACTTATCCACATCGCGCTAATCGTAACCGCAGTGGCGGACAGCTGTGCTAATGGGATGTCAGTTCCGTAATTTCGCTAGACTTCCGGGGTTTGTTCCGTGTCGGAATTTTACCCCTCGGCCCGCGAAAATTACATTACGAACCCGATTTCTGAGATTTTGTTAAACGTACCCACACAGACACAGACGCTGACTTTCTCTCTCTAAACACTTTCTCTCTCTAAATTTTGAAGAAATTGAACCAGTTTAGAGCGAGAAAGGAAGAGAAAAGAAAGAGGAAGAGAAAAGCAATCGAACAATTCGTGACGAGAAAGTATTCATATTGTAATCGCCGAGGCAGCGAAAAGTGGTTGGCTTTTTGTTCGAATTGAAGCGTATTGTTTCATTTCTGAGAGGATTTGGATTAGGATTAGGGTTTGTGGTTTGAATTGGGAGGAGGAGGGAGGGGCGATTTTCGATTTGGGATTTTGGGTTTTTGGTGAAGAATTTGGGGGAAGATGGCGGAGGTGGTGCTGCATATATACGATGTGACGAATAGTGGATCGGACAAGACGAATAGCACCATTCTGCAGATCAACAAGATCTTCAAGGATGGTATCGGCCTCGGCGGCATCTTCCACAGCGCCGTTCAGGTTCCTCCCTCCTCCTCCTCGTCTCTCTCTCTGTGTCTTCCTCTTGTGTACTCGCGGTTGCATGTATATGTATGTAATCTGAAAGTGGACGTGTAATTGGTAGTTGGAGTGCTGTGAATTGGGGGAGATTTAGGGCTTAATCTGAAAGTAGACATGTAATTGCTGGTTGAAGTTAATAATTTTCTTGATTGATTGTAAACCTTCGATTTGAGTTTGATCTGAATACTGAAAATGTTTCAATTTTCGCTATGTTAGTTTGGATTTTCGGCATTGAAGTGCCGATGGGTTGTTGAGTTTACCTTTATGATTTGCGTTTGCGGTTTATAATTTTCAGTAAACTGCTTTATGTTGCCTCAATAGATGTTTCACGATACGATGCCTTTATGTTGAATTTTCGTTGCCAGTCAAGAAACTCTGATGATTCTTATATGGAGAATGACTAGAGTTTGGCTCTCTGTTTTATTACGTAAAGACGGTTAAAAGTTGCAATGTAACGGCTTGTATTTCTGTTCGTAATTGTTTATGCTCTATTGGACAGGTTTATGGAGATGATGAATGGTCATTTGGGTTCTGTGAACAAGGATCTGGTGTGTTTAGTTGCCCTTCTGGGAAAAATCCAATGTACACATATCGTGAAAGCATCGTTCTTGGGACAACTCATTGTTCGATCTTCAAGGTTAACCAAATCTTGAGGGAACTCAGTAGAGAGTGGCCAGGGTATTCGTATGACCTGTTATCAAAAAATTGCAATCACTTTTGTGATGAGTTATCTGAAAGGCTTGGGGTGCCAAAGCTTCCAGGTAACTTTGTGAGATCGTAGGGTTTACCGGCTATGCTAAAGATTTATTTTCTATGCAACTGGGCGTTTACTTGACCAACCATAAGTACAATGGCCAGTGATTTGTTCTTGTTTCGGTCAGTTCCCTGATATATGGTTGTGCATTTATGATCTTCGTGTTTAAGTTGTGCATTTATGATCTTCCGTGTTCTGTACTGTGCCTCTGAATTTGAAAATGTAGTCTTGTAAATAGATATATGGCATGTATTCTTATAGCTTCTTTTACAGGTTGGGTTAATCGTTTTGCCCATGCTGGTGATGCTGCTATGGAAGTCGCAGGAAACACGGCAGAACGGGTGAGTTATTTTATGCAGAACGTGCATAGAAACTAGAAAGGGAAAATTACAGCAAGTTTCACATTTACATAATTACATGGACATTTCATCTTTAATGGGAAAGGGAAAATGCATATAATTAATCTTACACATATCCACTTTGAAGCTACCTGCCTGTTTCTTTGTTTTCTTCTTTGCCTTGGACTTGCTTTGATGATTCGTTGCCCGGAGATGTGGCTAACCGTACATGTTCGGATTGAATTTTCCTGGAATCTAGTTTGGCCTCTATACTTCTTCGTGTTTGACCTTCCACTCATTGTTGGTTTCCTTTAAAGTTATTTTGCATTATTGCATGAAATGTTGCTTTTGGTTGCTTCGGTGCATACAAATCTAATAATTTTCTTGGGTCGTTGCAGTTTAGAGAAGCGAAGACACAGATTGTTTCGGCTAGCAAAGTAGCATATCGTTTCCTTGTGGGTGTTACAAGCAATGCTATAGCTTCTCCCGCGTCTCCTGAAAATTCAGACAGAGGTACTCCTAGATTTCAGGCCGCATGGTTTAAGAATCTAATCACAACGGGAGCAAAGCCTTCTAGTAGTTCAGATTTCGAGAATAAGGAAGAGGATGTACTTCGGCAGAACCAGCAATCGGATACAGAGCTGCCGCTGCAGCATAATTCTCGAACATGGCAAAGTACGTAATTTCCGAGCACACTTTGCCAATGTGTACTACTCAAATCCAAGCAAAGGTCGATGAGTCCTGCGTCGTGTACCAATGAAGAAAATTCTTTTGTTTGTTGAACAGAAGTATGCCCCATTCATGCCCCCAAAGAACTGGATTACATTCAATAGATTGCCCAGCTTGTAGTTGGTTTCATTACGTTACGCGATTTGTTATGTTATTCAAGGTACGTCTTAGCAAAGAAGAAACTTGTCCAACTTGACGGTAGAAGATGAATTTATCATTCAGAAAATGCATCCCTTTCCGTCTTCAGAAAATAGTAAAATTCAGAAGTACCACTCTGAACTATTCGAGTTTTTCAATTCAATCTAATCTTGAACACTAAATGAGCGCCAAACTTGATCACAAGGTTTAATGGCCTGTTTGGTGAGCCGGGTGGTATTGAATTTGGAGGAGATTGGTTAGGCGGGACTTGTAACCTGTGTATATAAATAGGTTAGATAACTTATTCTATTGTGTATTACCTAACTCATCTCGTTCAGCTATGTTCATTTTAAATTTTGACACAACAATCAATAAACTGGATTCAAGTCCATTTAATCGGTCACATATCCTATTCAAATTACCCACCAAACAGGCCCAAGTGCGAAAATCAAGATAACTTTTGAATGTGGTAAAATCAGAAGAATCCTCTCCGGATCCTCTTTATGATCATTTTCCAATCAAATCTGTTTATTGTATATCGTACGGTTAGAAATCATTGTAAATTTTTTATTTAAAATTGAATATAAACAGTACCTAATAAAAATTGATCACACGATGTACGATGAACACATGTAATTGGAGAACCCCACAAGAATCCTCTCTCGCAGTAAAGTTGGGATACGGTTTAACTAAATCATTCCATACCACAGAAGATGCAAACATTATTGAAACCACATTAGTTTGATACAATCCACAAAAAAAGAACAGAAAGATGAGTCAGCTGATGCCTCAGGTCATGAAATGTTACTGCACGTAAAATACATAGCAGCCCCTCGAAGAGAAAAAGAAGAAGAAAACGCAAGAGCATGAGACTGCAACATTCTTCAACGCGAAATTATATACAGAACATTGTCATCGAAATACAGCCGAGGGCCCTTCCAGTAACATAACAGCTTGACTGAAACGTCCATCTAACGTCTTAGCATTCCGTCGAGCACAATTGTGCCTTCATGTGCATCCTCTGCAATCCGTAGAGATGAAACAGCCTGCGCTGCAATGAGCCCAGCAGCAAATCCGCTGGTACCCCAACGTCCATCATCACAAAATAATTTTGCGTAATCTCTTTCATAAGGTCCAGATGAGAGCGACCATTCACTGTTCCCTAAGCCACCCAAGTTGTATCCCGATCTGTAAGCACCAGACACCCACCCAATCCTTTCGAGTGAACACTTTGCAGAGTCTTGATAAGGAAAGCATGTCCTCCTTCCACCCACAAATACGCTGATGTCGCCAGGACAATCCCAATGATTGAACACTTGATCTTTGTTCAGAACAATCTCACATGTTTCATCTGAGTCTTCTTCACCAAGAAGGACACGCAACGCAACAGCCTCCGCAATTGCAGCACCTTCTTCATCAAGCCTCTGTTGCTCTTCTTTCTTCTTCTGTTTTTTCTTTTCTAGTTCAGAAATGATGGCTGCCGAAGTAGCAAGGGCTTTCTCCAAACGCCTCTTCTTTTTCTCAGCCTGTTTTTGACGATCCAACTCGTCCTTCACCTGCTTTTTCTTAACTTTTCTCACAACCGGTTGCAATTTATTACACTCCATGCTATCCATTCAACCAACAACCTCCAAAAAGTTGCCTTTGTTTAACTTGTTTTGAGAATTCCTCTAAAGTGTATACATTTCCCTATAATTGTGTTCCCTTACTTTTCTATATTACTAAAGAAAATTAATTACTTTTCTTGCTGAAAACTAATATAATTACTATAATCCTAATAACTACACCCACTCAGGTCTATAGGAGTACCTCATTTTGCGAACGATGCAATCCCATACGGAAACAACAGGAGACAACAGAAGGGAAAACTGATATGCACTCACAGAGCCACCCCTCGGCATCATTCTTCCTAGTTTCCCACAACCCTTGCATTTACCCATCTTGAGCATACAGAAAAACTGATCATCCAATACCAACTGTGGAAGCAATAACAAAAATCTGTTCCAAATAGCTCACATGGCCTTTCTCTGCTGAAAAATAGCAAAGAGAGTTACAAGTTAAACCAAAACTTAAAGTAACGAAATAAATAAGCATATAAGACACACTTAACAGCAACTATAAGACAACACAAGTAACACTGCAATCCGCCAAGAGCCCAATTGAAGAGACTTCAGAAAGGAGTTCATCTCAAATTTCAGTAACCTATCCTCAGCCTAGTTGGGAATCAGAAAACCACTGCTTCCCAAGTCATTATTCAAAGAAACAATAAACAAGAAAACACCTCTGAATCATGAACATTAACAGCGTGGTGCGCCATTTGAAAGGAATAGAATGGACGCTCGAAGGCAGAACACACATGCTACTAAACGCAAGCAACATAAATCATGGACGCATCCCCTACTATGCCTAACCCCAACTATCATCATAATTAAAAGTGAAGTCAAGCTTCCCAAATAACTGAAAATTGGATCCAAATAACGTCGTCATAAACCTCGCAAGCTAGATCAAAAATCCCAAGAAACACTGAGTTAATGATAAAGCTCCAATTATTTCAATTAATGGTAAATATATCCATCCGATACTTGTTAGTTACAAAACTCTGGACCAAGAGTAGATAAAAAGCTCACAAAATCAAGAGATACAATTGAGTCAACTCACGAAACCTGCTTCGATTATGAATTACAAAACAACACCAATCCAATTAATCCAATCTTAATCGTATAGGTGAGATGATGAAATAACACAAAAACCGACGAACAAACCCTCTCACTCAATTCAATAACCAGAAATTCAACTTCAACTCAATTTTCCCATCAGCCAAACAGATTCTAGTATCCAATTCGTTCAAATCCAATCTTAACCAAACAGATCCGTACAAAAAATAAACACAGCTCCAACAGCTCATCACAAATCCGTACATATAACAGCGTGATCTAATCAGTTCGAATACAGTAGCATCAAATTCAATCACCAATCAATCCAGATCCAATCACAGACTAATCTAAACAGATAAATCGAAACAAAAACCAATAATTAAGTCCAAATTCAAACACGCGAAATCAAAGACGAACAGAGGGAGAGGAGAGAGAGCGAGAGAGCAGACCAGATTGAAATCACAGGTGGAGGAAAGGGCCTCGAGCTCGGAATCTCATCCGCGGAGTGAAGAAATCGGGAAAAACTCGGACGAAATCGGATACGGAGAGAAAAACGGAGGAGGAAGAAACCGGGAGTCGGTGGTTGTTTTGTAAGAAAAACGGAAGTGAAAATTTGACAACCAACCGACCAGAGAGAGAGAGAGAGAGAGAGAGTGAAAAGGGTAATCGTGTAATTTACAGATGGGCCGGGGACACGTGGCGGGAAGACGGGAGGGGGGGAAGCTGATCTGAAAGGGTAAACAATATCTAGAATCTATGACTTTTCTTTGGCCTTTCGGGATTACGTTGGGCCCGTTGGATACTTTTTCTGATGATTCAATCGTATTTCTGTTCATTGTACATTGAATGGTCAGAAATTATTGTAAATTTTTTTATTTAAAATTGAATATAAACAGTATTTAATAAAAATTAACCTCATAATATACGATGAACGGATGTGATTAGAAAATTCTCGGAATTTTCGTAAAGAAAATCCACGAGGATCCTCTCCCTAGGTTCGGAGGCAATCCATGGTGTCTCTTGCTTTCCGTCAAAGTGTTTCTATTGGTTTGTTTATTAGACGGTCAGGATTGTAGATCTGAAGACACTTGTTTTTGGATCGGACGGTTTAGATTAAGTACAGTAATAAGAAGGTGGGAGTGTGATGTAGACTGTAGGGTGGGTAATGGGCCGACCTGGGCCTCTACATTGGGCATGTTCCTCGGAATAAGGTGGGTCTGTGATGTTGAGTGGTTGGGACTATTGTTGTTTATTGTTGATGAAATTTTAGTAATGGTTCATCAACTTTAATCCAATTGAAGCAATAGTCCATCAACTAAAAATTTATGATCTTTGATCTCTTAATTTATCTAAACATGTAGCTATGGTCCTTTTCGTCAACTTCGTTAAAACTTCCGTCAAAATGAATCATGTGCCACTCACATAAGGTTAAATTAAGAAGCAACTATAGAAAACCAAATCAAAAAAATTATAGCAATGGTCCATAACTTTAACCCAATAAGAGAAATGATTCATCAACTTTAACTCAATTGGAACAATGATCACTCAACTTTAATCCATTTGTAACAATAATCCTTTCAACATGAGTCATTTTGACATAATTTTAATGGAGTCAACAAAAATGATCATAACTGCACGTTTTGATGGGTAAAGAACCAATGATCATGAATTTTTAGTAACGAAATCATTGCACCAATTAAGTTGAAGTTAAGAAACTATTGTTACAATTTTCTCAACTATAAACAACAAAATCATAAATAATATAAATCACATTAATTGTTACAATTTATACTGTTTGATTTAAAACCCATTTTTTAGCATGTGATTCGGTCTTAAACCAGAAACATTTCAAGGCCGTAAAAACCAAACCGTTCAGTCCGGTTTACTCCAATACGATTTCGATTTTCGATTCCGCCAACCTCCTATTTCCCTGTTGAAGCGTTCACTAACAGTCACAACTCCTCCTTCCTCTTGTTTTGATGATCCCACCTGATCTAATCCAAGGGTCACAAAAGCCGCAATGGTCTCTCTTCAACTCCTCCCCACCATCCTCCACCCCAAGCCCTCCTCCTCCACCTCCTCCTTCCTCACCGCCGCAAACCCACTAAACGCCTTTAAACCCAAAACCCAAAAACCCAATCTTTCTTCTCCCTTCACAGTCCGCGCCGTCCTCCAATACAACAGGAAGCCCCAGTTGTCCGGCGACACGCCCCGCGTCGTCGTCATCACCTCCGGAAAAGGAGGCGTCGGCAAGACCACCACCACCGCCAATGTCGGCCTCTCCCTCGCCCGCCTCGGCTTCTCTGTTGTCGCCATCGATGCCGACGTCGGCCTCCGCAACCTCGACCTCCTCCTCGGCCTCGAGAACCGCGTCAACTACACCGTCGTCGAGGTCCTCAACGGCGACTGCCGCCTCGACCAGGCCCTTGTCAGGGACAAGCGCTGGTCCAACTTCGAATTGCTCTGTATCTCGAAGCCCCGGTCCAAATTGCCGATGGGGTTCGGCGGCAAGGCCCTGGTCTGGGTAGTGGACGCCTTGAAAGCCAGGCAAGAGGGCTGCCCGGACTTCATTCTCATCGATTGCCCAGCAGGGATCGATGCCGGATTCATCACAGCCATTACGCCGGCCAATGAGGCCGTTCTGGTGACCACGCCGGACATCACGAGCTTGAGAGACGCTGACAGGGTCATTGGGCTGCTGGAGTGTGACGGAATAAGGGATATTAAGATGATGGTGAACCGGGTTCGGACGGACATGATCAAAGGGGAAGACATGATGTCGGTGCTGGATGTGCAGGAGATGTTGGGACTGGCATTGTTGGGGATGATTCCGGAGGATACGGAGGTCATCAGAAGCACCAACAGAGGGTACCCTCTGGTTTTGAACAGGCCGCCCACATTGGCAGGGCTGGCTTTCGAGCAGGCGGCCTGGAGGCTCGTTGAGCAGGACAGTATGCAGGCTGTCATGGTGGAGGAAGAGCCCAAAAAGCGCGGGTTTTTCTCGTTTTTCGGAGGGTAGGAAGTGCGCCAATTTCGAAGCTTGCAAGCATTGTTATGCTTGTGCTTTTATCTGCGGATGATTGTTCAGTAGTAGAGGGAAAAGTGAGTGAAGCTGTGTACAGGGTAAGTCAGTTCAATTCTCTGATTGTGTTTTTGTTAGTGATAGCTTAAAGTTTAGATTTCTAGTCTTTCCATGTTTTTAGGGATGCTAAGGATTAATGTGATGTATTTACTTGATTGAGAAACAAGGAAAATTGGTACCTGTCTTTCGAATTTTCCGGTTTGAGAAGTTCGTGTTTGATCTTTATCTTTTGATGAATTGTGCATTGAAGAACTCTTTTCCTTTCCATCCTTTGCTAAATACGCATTGCAGTTTGCTCGGAAACGAATGCTTAGCTTGCAAACCGGTCACTTTTGTCAAATGGCTTTCCTTGACGTAGTTAACGGGGTTAATACACCTTCCACCTCCGGTTTGGGGAAGTTCGGCTCAGCGACTGTCACTGAAGCATCAAACACTTGAAACTACTTGATGATGAAGCGACGAATTCACTTGTAATCTCCTTCTCAATTCATAGAGCAGCTTTGGGCCGACGGTAGTTATATTACCTGAAAAAATCGGATAATTATTTGCTTTGTCCCTTTTTATATGAACCAGAATGATCTGAAATTAGTGAGATTAGTTTCATCAAGATTTGAGTACCTGCTCCAAGTGTAAAAACTACGATTTCCCCATGAGGGTTCTTGCATATTTGAGATGCTAACTTCTCTACAACATCGTCCTGCATGTTTAACAATCTTGAAATCATCCAGTTACCCGAATCCTTCCTAGAGAACCATTTGAAGCACTAATGGGTTTTTATTCGATCCTGGTATGCGATTTTTTATCGTTTACAGTCATGTTTCGCATGCGATTTCAGACATAATTGTATCTAAAAGAACTTAAAACTTGAGTATTACCAGAGAAGGGATGTATTCAGATGGCGGGCCAATTATCGTAGCAGCTAACTCCCTTCCGCCAACATTCTCGACATCTTTCTCTCTAGCGGCATACACCTGACATCATACTTCCAACCAATTAGCCCCTTGGCTATAAGCTATAAGGTAATCCAAAGACTTTGTGCTAAGACAACTTACCTCTGTGACTACGACTTGATCTGCATCGCGGAGAGCATTGGTGAAGTCATCCTTCAGTGCTGTTAAACGGCTGCAAATGTATCATCAGTCAGTCTAAGCACAAATCATACGAATCATGCTAGCGATAAAAGACTCTGCACATTGTTTTCGTCTTGAGTGAATACCTGTAAGTATGAGGCTGGAACACGACCAAAAGAGACTTGACAGGGAACCTCTGGCGTGCAGCTTGAATAACTGCACTAACTTCTGTTGGATGATGAGCATAATCGTCATATATGTGGCATCCGCACACAGTGCCAATCATCTCAAAACGTCTTGAAATGCCTATGAAATTGTTTAAGTGCAACCTCACAAGATTGATTGTATTGTTGATTTGACATTGGTCACTGAATAATGCTATCACACTGGCAACAACCTGCACAATACAGCACAATTAAAAGCGACAATAAGTTAAAACATTACAGGACATGTAGTTCAAGGTTCTAAAAGACGCTAGGCGCTAGTTTGGTCAGCATGTTGAGGCCTAGCGCCTAAGCGGGGCTTAGTCGGGCGCCTAGGCAGACTAGGCGGATTTAAGTAAATCTATTATCTTTTGTGTAAATAATTGTTTGTTTATACTTAAATCATATATAATTTCATCATAAACTAAACAAGAATGACATATATATTATGAAGTATTGGAACGTAATGAAAACATGGGGAACAAGCATATAATGTATGTTCATTTAAGTATTCACCAAGTCTCTTACAATTTATTGAAAAAAATAAAATGCAAAATGAAAGTTATCTACTTTCTATCTAAGTCAGTCGCAACCTAGGTAGGTGCCTAAGCGGGTCTGGGCGGGTTAGGTGGGTGCCTGGGTGGCCTAGGCGGGCGCCTCAGCAAATCAAGGCACCCTTTCTTAATTTTCAAATGCCTAGGCATTAATAGGGGCGGTGGCCAGCCGCCTAGCGCCTAGGCGGGGTCTAGACAGTGCTAGGTAGGGATTTTTAGAACAGTCATTTATATCAATAGACGAAAACCCGCCTTTAAAAATATCGAGATGCAAATGATGGTTATAAATTATAATACAACACAGAACAGAAATGTGATGAGGAAAATTATACTCAGAACAGTATGTCACTCACTGCCAACGAATTAAGGACGTTATGAACTCCTGGAATCTGTAGACTGATGTCTGCCACAGGGTGCCCGCAATGACACTGCAGGGGAAAGAGTGATTAACCAGGGAAAAGAAATTCAGTTAAGTTTCATACACCATTTTTTTTCCAAAAGAAGCTGAATAATGTAGGGCAACAGGGGAGCATCCCGGCATGATAAGAAACCATATTTACATACCAGTGTATAATCACTACCACCCCTTAAATTTGGCCCGATTGATGATGCATGCCATTCATTAGAACTTGCGGTTCCATAAGTTGTTATGTTGTAGCTATCAGAACATTTCCAGCTATCGGATCCAATTGCTCGCTTTCCATCAGTCAGCAATGAACATGCACCTTGACTGTTGCAAACGGGAAACATTTACAAAGAGTATACTACCAAATAAATTTACATCTGTAAGAATGGTGAGCAAAAAGTACAATAGACATGTATGTTGAATAACTAATGCATGCAACCACCACCAAAGGACCAAACCAAAAATCTACACACAATGAACCATAAAGTTTTAAATCGAATTGCATACAAAGGAAACTGTCATTTCTTTCATGGTATATGGGAAATGGTATGTGGACTAAAGCTTCTATAATGCCTGCCACTTGAACTTTCTGCTGCACCAGAAATGCAATATGCTGTCAAAACAGTCGAGCAATGTACCTATCCCCACATAAAATGAGATGTCCGCCCACCCTGATACGGTTCAGGAATTTCCTGAAAGTAGATTTAACCGCCTCCTTGTTTGGAAATATATCAACATGCTCCCAATCCAAATTTGTTACAACGGCTATAGAAGGTGATAATCCCAGGAAACAGTGATCGTATTCATCAGCCTACTACAAACATGAAATATGTAAGTAATCTTTATGAGCAATTGAACATGAAATCGATCTATTCCAGTCGATTAAGTATTAAGTAGTACAGGTTATCTAAACATCATTTATTCCTATCAATAATAGGTTCCTATTCATTGTTACAGAACCATGAACGGAAATTTAAATATTAGATATCTTCAGTCTTTTGTTCATGCATGCTTTACCATTTACTACCTCCCTTGTTTGGCCTAAACAGAATAACGTATTCCATTAAAATTTTATAGCATATCAACCTTTAATCCTAGATTTCAAATCAAAATTTTCAACCTCAACAGGAAAAGTATACCTCCAGGACAAAATTACGACCATCACCGAAGATAATGTTTCCTCCTGAGAACTGCAAAAGACAGTTTGAATAATTTCCAACATATAATTTAAGAAAGCCAATTCCAATTATAAATGAAACGACAATCAAACTCTTTATTGTAAAAGCTAATTCAAAAGAAAGTAAAAAACTATGATTTAACATATTGCAACTGCTAAGCTCGTATTTTCTCCAAAGCTGTATAGAGAAGTAAAAGAATTGAAAATGATACCTGCGGCACATGTGCTCCAACTACTGCGGTAAGACTATCACCCATGGCGTCTAGAACATAAGCAAGCATACTTGCAGTTGTACTCTTTCCTGTAAGTATTAATACTTATCATTATTATGCAATAAAAGAAATGAAGACAAGCCAATAGTATCTTAGATTTCTCCACATTTAAGAAGACATTCTGTAAACTGATTTTGTAAATAATGTGCAGATAGCATAACAATGATTCGTGAAGATAATAGCACAGAAATATTCTTACCATGGCTACCGCTTACAGCAATGAGATTATAGCCCTCTGTCAGCTTTCCTAACCACTGGTCTCGCCTGTACCTGTAGAAGAAAGAGGTTAAGATATGAAATCAAGCAAAACAGTGAATGCAGCATACTTAGATAAGCAAACACTAAGGGCTCGTTTGGAAGTGCTTATAAAATGACTAAAAGTGCATTTGGTGAAATGTTTTTTAAACCAATCCTTAGTAAAAAACTAAGTGGATCTGCGTAGAACCACTTTAAGTGCTTCCTGCAAGAAGCATATATCTGGTGCTTCTTCTAAAATAGCACTTAAAGTGCTTTTGGAACCCAAAATCTATTTCACAAAAAGCGCTTCAGTCATTCTAAAGCACTTTCAAACAAGCCCTAAACCATTAAAGTTACATACATAATAGCCTACTTGGTTATCCGTCAACATAGGAAGACTAGGAACGGAATAGACAGTTGCGCACAATCTACAACCTAGCCTATAGTAACTGCTAACAATTTGTAATTCCTACTACTGCTAACTTGGTAAGAATATTTCAGTGTTTATAACATTACACACCAAAAGAAGTTCCAATTGCTTCAAATGCTAAGGTGAACAAAGATATACTCACACGGGTACTCCGACGGACTTTGCATACAAAATCTCAGCATTGTTTTGGGGAATAGCACTTGAAACAACAATGGCATCAGGTAATCTCGAGGCCCCGTTCCTTTGCAAATTGGTCACCGAATGGCCTATATATAAAAATGCCCCTGCTTCCTGCAGCCCATCCATGAAGCTACTCCACACAATATCCGAGCCACTAACCTCATAACCCTACGAAAACAAAAACAACTCTCAAAATTCAAGAAACCCAAAAATGGTCCAGTTTTCAGAAATCTAATGACATTCTAATACTTCCACAAAATTTCCAGCATTTTCTCGCCAACCAAACAGAGAACTAGGGTTTCAATCAAGCATCACCTGTTTGAGTGCAAGCATGGCCAGCGCAGACAACCCGCAACCTCCAATCCCCACAAAGTGAATCCAACCCTTTTCGTTTCTCAAACCATCGGATTCTCGATCGCTCTCGTCCGTGAACGCCGGCGAGATTGAGATGCTGCCGCTGTTGTTTTTACTCGATGCTTGCACGGATTTCGCAATGCGATTGCGTTTGCACTGGGCCGAGCTCTCACTCACAAATATCTGGAAGTCGATCTTCGGTTTTCCGATGATATTTGCCGGAAAATGGAGGCGTTTGGACGTTGACATTGCCGGGAATTCCATTCGTGTGATAGCACTGTGATACAGTGCTTTTCCCGGGAAAGTGACGGCTTTGAAGTTGGATCGTGAAGAAATGGAAACGGATAGTTTTAAATTACAAAATGGGCTTTGTTAGGCCCATCATATTGACCCATTAACGCCCAATACCTTTTAATCACTTGAGTTGATATCCAAAAGGCCCAATTCATGTTTTTCTATTTTGTTTCTTTAATTTCAAATAATGTTTTTATTTTCTATGATTTTAAATTTTTGCATAACTGCATACCTTGTACTTTCTAGTTTTTTTTTTTTTAATTTTGTTTTAAAAAGTGACTAGTTGGTGGCTTTGCTACGACAGTCTACCGTTTGAGGCCGGAAATCATCACAGAAGCATTTTAATCTCCCATGACTACTATTGTGATTCAACTTTATAATGATATTCCCCACTTTAGTATAATGTCAATGTTATTGATCAATAACACCATAAAATGAAGAATAATTCAATTTGTTTCCTCGTCCACCCATACTTGTAACCACACGTGGCATGCCTAGAATGCAATTATGCAATATGGCACGTTTCGGTTTGATTCGCAGCATTAGTGAATTATACAATGGTGATAAAATAAAAAGACTAAAATATCTTATAAATTTTTCTAACTTTCGAAAAAATAAACTGTCGCAACGAAACTCCCACCTGAACCTTTTCAAGAGAAAGATAACTGAAGGCAGTGGGTGACCAACTGACCAATGTACCCAATAAGCACCGCCTACCTTGGCTTGTCAATTAAATTTAGTTATACGGTTGAGAAAATCCGCCGCCCTTGGCCACATGAAACCAATATATGAAATTATGAATACAAAGATAAGATAAAGAATACTAAAAAGAATTACAACTTTTCAAAGAAGCACCAATCATATGAGATCAACTGAGTCATTGATAGCTGTTGTTTCCTACCAGTCAAAGGAGGAGGAGGACTTACATCAAACGGAGATGTTACAATTAAAATTACTGGTCATTTCGAGGGGACGACATACTCTTTGTATGGTTTTGGCAGTACTGGACAAGCAAGTCATCGATCCAAATCAGGCGTGGCTACCATTCCAAGGCTTTTATGTCCGTTGGTCAGGGGTTATTTAAGATAGGAGAATGAGGTTAAAGCCGACTTTTGCCTAAAGCGAGTAGCAGACTCTTGTTTTAGTACACGTATAATCGCGCTTCTAGACTATCTTTTGGTGGTCTTTATTGTATAAATTGAAATGCTATCGAACCCCGAGCATCTTCTTTTTTATTTGAAAATGGAAAAAGGAGTTCACTTATGACTCCAAAATCGATCCATGAGGCGGACTGCCCTTCTTACTTGGTTTGAGCGATATTATGGGCTATTAATGATACTCAAAAGATCTGGTATTTCAAACAACACATTCATAAGTTCATAACACTTAACTAATAGTTTGGATAATCCAAATTCAACTCGAATCAATTGCAAATAGAATTTATTCAAACTTGAATGCAAAAGTGGAGCACAATATTATAATTAATTTGGCTAAATTCGTGTTTATCATGTTAAACATAAATTGAGTTTACTTCAACTTACTATCAAGTTAATCAAATGTCGCAAAAAGATGAAATATATTAGATTGGATTTTAGATTCACGTCTCAACCAGTTGTATGACTAACACTACATCATTGGTATGAACACGTTTTTTTGAGCAACAAATAGTTTCTCCCTCAATTGGAAGTCAACTATATATTAATCCAATATTCAAATTATTGGGGTCTTACATCATCATTGTGATACATTCTTATCCCATATTATTATACTTTTTCCTTTTTTAAGGGATTAGGGTCAATATCAAATAGGACCTATTTGGTGGGTTGGATGAAATAGAATTGGATCGGTAGAGATATGTAAGACAAAATTTGTAATCCATGCATAAAGATATATTAGATAGCCCATTTTATTGTGAATTTATAACATATCATGTCAAGTCTTAACTATCTCATATTTTTGACACAAAAAACAAGGGACTTGACTCAAGTCCATTTTAATTGATCACGACCTATCCAACCAGCCACCAAACATGCCCATAAAGATAATGGAGTTCAAATCTTCTGCACCTGTTTTGTGCATGGCCTTTCTGTGACTCCTATTATTCATAGACATATTTTACATTTATGAAAACATAGTTAATGAGGATTAAGTTTATAGGCACATATCAATCAATAATCAAGCCACAATCACCCTGTTATGTCCTAGTGATTATGACAAATTTCAAAACTATATTTTATATAGTATATCCTGAGTTCTTATCATAATAAAACCACTAAAAAAACATACAAAATAAGTACAAAAGATTTAAACGCAAAATCACGGGCTATTAAGAAAAGCAATGGTGATGTCGGAAGCAATATACAATATGCTCGACAGATAAAAGTTTCTTTTATCTTATTTCCGACCTCTGTCGAGAAGTTGGGTTAAGTAGAAAGTAGGTCCCCACTTTTGCTTTTTTCTGTCAAATTTGACAGGTATTGGTACACTTCAATTTAAACACTCCCATTGACGGCCAAACCAACAAGGAAAGTGGAGCTCTTAATCTCTTGGAAATGAAAATTGGATTGGAAATTGGAAAAGATCATACGTGTTAATTGTAAAGGTAAGTGCATGAGCCACTAAGGTTGCGTTTTAATATTGGGGTCTAGGGTTTCAATGCATGTTGCATATTCTTGTTTTTTATATCTTTCTCGTCACTTGATGATTGAAAAAAACAAAAACAAAGTTGTCAACGATCACATAGTCGTTGAGCTAAGGACCAAACCCTAGTTATTGTTGTTATACATATAATTCTTTTCTACATCTCTCATCACGTAACAGGTAACAAGAGAGAGATATGTGATAGTTTCGTGGAAGTTTCTTCTCAAAGATGGGGCATTTGGGACGATGGCACGACCCTCCACACGTCGAGCAATGGCATGACGAAACAAAATGGGCGAAACGCGGTAGCTTCATGAGGCAACAGCGCACACACACGACACGATATGGAAATTAGGTCAAATTATATGCATGGTTGGGTTGAGTCAGCACCACGATACACACAGTTTGGGGTATGACCTCTATACAATACGTGGCTTCAGAATATTGGATGTGAATCTGAATAGCTATACTTTATTTCATATCACAAACTTTTGAATAATTGAATCACACATAAACCCTATTCGTTCGAAGTGGACGGTGATCAAAATTCAAAACTCTTCAGATTCAAGGAGTCATGTATATAATCACACTTGTTATTTATCTATGGGACCCTTTATCTATTTGTTGCGGACGCTATTGCTTACTCGACCAGTGAAGAATGTATTTCGGAACCAAATCGGTCTCAGGATCATTTGAACTCTAAGAAATATACATGTGAAGATTTTTTGATGATCATTTGAATGTTTGGTATAAGTTTTTTTACAATGAATAAACTGAAGAAAAAAACTGCGCACTTCTCACTTTGTTTCTATTAAAAAAGCTTAAAGATTTAACAATAAGACTAACCAATGTTCGAATACTGAATCCGCCACTGAATTCAACTAGACTAAGTTGAGAGAAACAGTTCAATCCAGGGCACAATGTGATTAAAGAAAAATACTATGAACGCGACCTTTTCAAATTTTTTTATCTGAGATTATATTGTGGTGGAGTATTGTATACAAACTTTTGACGCGTAGACTGCGTGGCAAATTTTCGAACTACCAAACACAAGCTCCACCAATCAACCCCTCATTAGTAAAAATGTAATCACTTACGTTTACTGTGAAGCGACGGCATACTAAATGACGAAATGTTTTGAAAAATTAGAAATAAACTTAGATTCGAAGATTTTTTTCTTATAAGTTCTATATGGACGTGTTATCGTCAACCAATATGTGAACGTTCATTGATGTACGGTTAAGCGCCACCCATCACGTTTCATGCATAAAATGTATAAATTAAATTTAAAAAAGTCCTACCAAACATTCTCTCTTAATTGCCCTTACAAATGTAAGTTTTATCAAGTCCTCCCTAATTTTGGTCCTCCTCAGGCTTCATCGTGTTCCATGCACCGTCAAAAGTAACATTTTAAAATAAAGTCGGTGAAAGTGATAGCATTAGGCCATGGGTGCTATAATCCATGAACAACCTTTATCTTGACCTAACGAAAAAGGATAGTTACCATCCTCACTACTCATTTAATTTGGGTAACAATCCTCTTAAGATATATGTCCTCCGGACCTGCCGACCAAGTTATCTTGACCGTCATATTCAAATCTTGCAGTTGGAGATCTTTCTTTCATTTCCTCTTTCTTTCCCTTCCTCTTCTCAAGTGTTGATTTCCCTTTCTCTTCCTCTTCGACAGAGATGAACCCTTGGGTCATACATATTGGGAATTCATCGACTCCTCTGACGCCGATTCTAAGAAAAACCAAGCGATTCTGAACAAACGGATAAAAATGGGCATGTTGAACTGTCATCATCTGTGGTAGCAAGAGAAAGACAGGCATGTTGGTTGCAACAGCGAGGGTTAGGCCATCTCCAATCGAATGAGGACCAAAGGATCATGTTTAGCCCTATAGCCTTGCAAGAAATTATATTTTAATGAATAATATCAATCATATTTTATACCATCTCTAATTGATGGGGCCAAAAGGGCTCAAACATAGCCTTTTGAAAAAAAAAACCTATCTCTAACCGAGGAGGGCAAAAGATCATAGGCCAAACATAACCCTCTCAATAATTTATTATTTTAATTGAATTACTATGGTTAATTAAATTAAACTACCATATTAAAATAAAATTTTCGAACATATTTTGAGTGCCACTTGCCACAATAACAAATAAAGCATGGTATTGTTGCACTTGCCACAAAGTCAAGCTCGACATTCTGACGCTGGAAGGCTGGCTGGCTGCAAATGGCTAGCTTGTCGGCTTGATTTGGGGTTTTTGGCCTAGTAGGGCCCACAAACCATTCAGCCTAACCCTCAATTGAAGACAATTTTCGTGTCATTCCAAGCTATTTTTAGCCCATAACCCTTTAGCCGGGTCGGTTGGAGATGACCTTACAAGGT